ATGTGCCCCGTATTTATTTGCATGAACAATTGTGTGCATTGAAAACAAAGTATCTTGTGACTTGAATTGGCACATAATTTCTGGATTCCGCTATCATTCATTTTAAAATATTTCTTATCTTAAAAATTGCATACAAAAAGTGTGTTCTGGTTACAGAAACATTTATAATTGTGGAAACCATAGATAAAATATATTTGTTTGGGAAATTTGCCTGCTTAAACAAATTTATATTTACTGAAAGAAGTGCTGTTTAATACTTGTTTGCATGGTATTTAGTTAAAATCAGACTCCATAGCTACTTTTTTCCAAGATACAGATTCACAGCAAGGTCTTATTGTGATGTTTGTGGACAGCAGGAAAATAAACATATAATTCTGTATATGGTTTACTGAACTATTTGTCTCACTTTCTAATGGTGGAATATATCTGATGGCTTGCCCAGGGCAACCAAACTACAATGTGTACCCAGTGCCCCATTAATTATGTCACTATTTTTATTTTTACTGTGTACCTGCATTTATATTTGCATTAGAAATATATGACTGGCAAATCTGGCTATGTGGAAATAACATATGACATTTATTTTATGTTGATAAAATACCTTTTAGAGAAACTTGATGATATCTTTTTGTTTTAGTCAAAAACAGTTGTGTGGTTCTTTACAAGTATGTATTTTGAAATCTATCAAAAAACTACAGTACTGAAGAAATTAGTTGCAGGAAACATTTGTGCCAACCTGAAGGAGAATTCATTAATGTTAATGTATTTCATTCAGTTTTAAAGATAGAACTTTAAATAGGTGACAGAAGTGGTTGGAAGACAGCAAAACTCTCCATGCCTTTAAGTATCACATCTATTTTTAAGGAACATTTTTAAAACATTTGCTTTGTTCGCCATGTTCTAAATAAAGGACATGAGTTGTGTGGGGTGCTTTTTTCTTAAGTAGATGACTCCCATGGCATATTTTTCTTTTCAAATGTGAAATGAGGTGGAAAATCCTCATTTCACACAGGAAGGACAAATATTGATACAAAGTTAATATTTGTCAGAAACCCTGCAAGCAACTTGAGTGTTTTTTTAAAAAGTAAATTAAATAAAATAACAACTTTGATGTGAAGATGTGTTTTCAAAAAAAATTGCAAAGAGGAGAGTGCACTATCTTAGATAGAAAAAAAGAAATGAAGTTAGGAGACATATTGTTGCTTGTCTCTTCTTAGATGCAGGGCAGATTTCTGTGTCACCCAGTATGTGCAAATATCCTGCCATGAAGTTCAGGGTTTTGTGAGTGAATAAACAAAAATAAATGCTATTTTTTAAAATAAATCAATAAACCATATACATATTAAGTCTTCTGTCACATCTTCATAGACGTAGAATAACAGATTTAAAATATTCACTTTTCTGATCTTATGCATTAACTTAGGTTTAAAAATATTTCCCATCTCTTTGATCCTGGGTGTTCACCTTCATTTTGGTTTTCCTTACTTTTCATGGCACATGTGTACATCAGTGGATATGTGAATGCCAGTTTTACCAAACCATCCTCCTCCTCCTCCTCCTCCTCCTCCTCCTCCTCCTCCTCCTCCTTCTTCTTGTCACACAGAAACATAACCAGTTTGATTTAATTTTGATCATTTAGAAAGAAGCTTCTGGAATTTATCAGTGTGGTTCTTCATCCTCAATGTAAATAGCTTGTGTCACCTCAATCCTCAGTGGTGAATCAGTATTTATTAAGGCCTGTCCACTCTGGCCTTTTTCTCCAAGGAGAGCCTCAGGCAAATTAGATGCTGCCCCTGACACCCTGTGTCACTTATCTATTTGTGTTGATGATGAGAGTCAGCTGCACACAGGCCTCCCTTTCCTATTCCCTTCCCAGCCCCACTTACGAGCACCCCTGCTTGGATTTTCATGAGGAAATAATCAGATTAGGCCTTCAGCGATGAGTTCATATGGAGTTCTCTTTTCTCCGATGTGCTACTAACTGAATAAACGTGTTTTGTGGCAAATTGTAAATGACATTATGATTACCAAGGCCAGCATGGGTTTCATTTGAAAAGTGATCAAAATTGCTGGCCGCAAATATTGTGACTGGCAGATAAGGCTGTTTAGAAGGAGGAGGGACTGGGGGCAATGCAAGAGAAAGGAACATATCCAGATTCTAGCAACCTGCTTACAAAAGGAGCAATGGAGATCCCAGCCATTTCACAGAAAGGCTGGCTCAGAAGTGGAACGTGCAAGAGACAGGTCACATGGGTGGTTGTGAAACATGGATGTGAGTGGTTGGCTCAGCTGTTTGCAGGGATCAGGTAACAACAATTAACTTGCATAGTTCAAGAAGACTTCCAGGTTTTTTCAGTTCCTTCCTGACAAGAACCTCTCAAACTAAAAGTGCCATCGTAATTTTAGGGTGCTAGGGAAAAAAATTTAATACATGCTAATTGATTTTCACAGGTCCAGCCTTTTATAATTTGGTAAGTGCTGCCAGCTGTATTTTCTCTTTTTTGAGAGCTATTTTTTTAATTTGATTTAGTTCTGTACTATGTACACCTGAATGGAGCACCCATGACTGTGCAGAAATGTTTATGGCAATATATATTGCGTAGGGTTCAGATCAAATGGATTCAAAATGACAGGCAAAACACTTCTTTACATAAAAATGCCTCTGCCCCCAATTCAGGATATGGTAGAATATGAAATTGCAAAGCTGCAGAATTGGATGTAAACATGAGCTGTTGAAAATGGCAACAGCACAGCAATAGCAACTGAAGTATTTTGGCCAGCAGCATTCAGACCCGTTAGGTGTTGCTTTGCTACCTGGGTATAAATAAGGAAACCTGAAGAAGGGAATCAGTCGTGGGAACCTTGTTGCCTCATTGACCTAGGGCCATAATGGAGACCCAAATGGTCTCTTCCACAGCCAGATGAATGACCAGTGAATTGCAAGGAATGGTATAAAACTAACTCAATAATTTCAGCAGAAATCAATTGCCAAAGTGAGTGATGGACATTCTGATCTTTAAATCTAATTAAAAATTTTTCCATACTTGAGATCCATTCAGTACACTTTCTCTGACTCAACCAATATATAATCAGTTTTCTTTCTGACGTTTGTGTATATCTGAGTGATTTTCTGAAGAGCAAAAAAATTGCATCTTTGCACCTTTTGCCTGGCATAAAGCCATACTGAACTTCCCAAATGTTGCTAATTGGCATTTCTAGTTCCATTTCAATCAGAATTCTGTGAAACATCATGTACTTTTTCACTTACTGTGGATACTTTTCTTTTTATGTAGAGGAACAATAACAGCCTTTTTTCAATCATCATATCTAATTCTTACCACATATGTTAAACAAGTGGCATGGCTAAGCAAATCACATTCATAAGTTAACTTTTCTCCAGTTTATATTTTTTTCTAATATTCTCACAGCACTTATGACTTTCTTTTCAGCTTTTTAAAGTATATTTTTCTCATCCTCATTTTTTTGCAATAATAATTCTCTTTTCTCACCCATAGCCTCTTTCACTTCATCATTCCACCAGGTGCCACTTCCTTACTTCCCATTAGGAATGCTTCACTGGCACTAAGTAATATAGTTCTGTTTCAAGCAGCTTCTATGTTCTCTTTCCATGCATCCATTTTCTAGTCATTCTGTTGTGAGGTCACTTTTATAATTTAATACATTTTCTTACAAGGTATATATTTTTCTTTTTGGTTCATTGTAGTTCTCTTTACTTCTTTTTTCTTAAATATTTATTTTTTCTAAGATCTACTCTTGACAATACTAGTAAATTATCTGCTTCACATTCACTCTTATATCATTGCTAATTTAATCATAATCTTTAATCATAAGTGATCAGATCTCACATTTGTATATTTATATTCATACCTCTTCTTTGTGTGCATTCAGAATGTGTCAACTGTGTTTTTGAAACAATCATTTTCTAAGCAGATTATTCCAATCATTCCTGGCTCTCCAAATAGTGTTTCACTTTTTCAGCATTCTTTTATCTCATTTCTATCTATTTATTCATGCCACTCAGTAGAACAATTTTCCCAGATTGCATACTTTATGTTTTTATTGGTTTTAAAGCTTTTACATTATTATTTTTTTCATATTAAATCATAGCAAGTCATTTCTGTTCAATCCACTATTTTGTAAACACAACAAACAAGCAATTGTGTAATTCAGAATCTATGTATTACTAATGTCCTATTGTTTGTAACCTTCAACTGGGCAAAACAACGCATCATAGGCAACATTTCTTGAACCAACATACCCTAGGGTAACTTACAGAAAGCATCCAATCTCCAGCTTACAGAAAGGTAACTTACAGAAAGCATCCAAACTCATGACTTCCCTGGGTTTGAAGTTGTGGCTGCTCCACTGCTGCCATATGTCCATGCTGCCATGGTTACCCACATCATGTGATTGTAATTTCCAATGCTCCTTGCCAACTTTTTTCAAAGAAAGTCAATGGGGAAGGTGGCAGGAGTCATTCCTGCTCCCACCACTTTTTTGTCTATGATTATTCTGTTTCTCTGTTTAGGTAAGGAAAGATCTCTGAAACAATGATCCAAAAGGACACAGGTTGCCTAGTGTTCCACTGTTTTTCTCTCAACTCATATCTGATTTGAAGTTCTCCCAACGAATAGGATATATTTGGCAAAGTTATATAAATTTCTTCTAGTCTGATCACATTAATAATCCAACTGACTGCATATATCACAAGTTAGAATAAACGGCAACTTTTTAAAAACAAAAATGCCTTTATGCTATTTTTTTCATTAGAAATAGATAAATGAATATCTGTTGTTTTTCCTTTCCCCACCAATCTCTAGAATTTCTAACACATTTGATGGAAACTGAAATTATGTACAATTGCTTTTCAAACACTGTGTTGAGAAAAATGTTTGGTTCTGGAAGACTGGTGACTAAATTTATAAGAGTCGTTTAATCTGTACTGATAACCCTTTTTAAAAAAAACTATTATTTAACAGGCATTTACAGGGAAGAAGGAAAATGCATTCTCAAGCCTTCATCCAATGTTTACTTCTGTAAGGAAACTGATCATGCAATGGTGATTTTGGAAAATATGGACACCAATTTAGATCACAAGAACCTCTCTCCACCTTTATTGATAGCTAGTACCTTTGTGGACACTTTCAGTGAAGCCACATCAGAGGGATCTTTCTGCTCCAAAGAACTCCCTGTGATATTTTACTCTATACTGCCATCAAACAGCCTTTCAAAGATTTGCTTTGCTGGACCAGTTCCTTGGTCATTAAGACTCTACTTTAATGGTGGTCATGACATTGTCAGAATGCTTTTAGCTATCTCCTATGATGAACCAAGAAGCTTTCATGTTTTTGTGAAAGAGAACGTTATCCAACCAGTCTTATTTTTTTCCAGCCTTTTTTGGGAAAATGCCACAACAGGAACTAATTACTTCAATTTTCAGGAGAATCTTCTGTATGTTGCTGTTCACTCGGATGAACCTATAGAAATATATACACATAGTGCTCTTCATATTGCTTTCACCATATCCGAGAATACTGGAGAGAAAGCTCAGGCAATGCTTATTCAACAGTTGGCAAGTTTTTTACAAATTGGGCAGGATGAAATTAGAGCAGTCTCCAGTACTTCAGGAAATGAAAACACATTAAGGATGATTGCAGACAATAGTATGAAGAGGAAATATCAGTGCCCTCCAGAGAGGTCATGCATTTTCACTCATCATAGCACCAGCCAACAGGGGGGCTTGCATCCATCCCATGTAATGCATAGCTTGAGAGTGCTCATCCTTGAAATCAGTGATCCATTACACGTCTTGAAATATAAACTTGACTCCTCGTATTCAAGTGTCAGATTCAACAGTTTGGCCAGTATACTTATTGATGCCCAACAAATTGGGAGACTTCAGCATATTCTCAGATTGCCAGTTGATTCTCTGGTGATGATGGTTTCGTCAGCTTCAGTTCCAGCAACAGAAAGTTCTGGGTAAGTGTGCTGATTGTTAAATACTTACATTTTTAATGTGTTAAATAATATTATAATACTATTAAAAACAAGCAGAGGATTGTTGTCCTTGCAGAAGCCCTCAGATGGCTTCAGAAGAGAATTTATTTGTGAATGTAAGAATATATAAGACAATTTACATCATGTTCTTGTGTTTCAAAGTTTGTTAGTTTGGGTTTAGTTTTTTTGTTATATATTCATGTTAAGTTTCCATATTGTTCCCCTCCCCCAGAACCTAGAAAGAATGTAGAGTTACTTCTGAATAGTTTGTTGTATTGTTCCTCACTTATAGACAGAAGCTTGCCAATTATTTACATAAGTATAGATATACTCTGGAAATCCCTAGGGAGGAGCTATTTTAACTCTCTTTCTCCCTACCAAACTCTCCATTCTTTGCTTCCTCTTTACCCTTTGGAATGGAACCCCTTCTTCTTGGGAATCCAGACTACATTCCACTGCATATACTTTCACTTCAAATTAGCAGCTGACACAATGGAATAATATTACAATGTATTACCCCAAATACTGGATGAAAAAAGGCAGTAATTTTTAATAAAAGCAGATTAAAACAAAATCAAAAGTAAATGTAAATATTTTTATTGGCTACTCAGGTATAGTTCTGTTGTAATGGGGTGGGAATTCAACATATATTACTAGAAAGGCTCTTTCTGAGTTGCCACCTGTTTTATTTCATTCATGTCAGGTTGTCTCTATCTATCTATCTATCTATCTATCTATCTATCTATCTATCTATCTATCTATCTATCTATCTATCTATCTATCTATCTATCATCTAATCCAGGGGTAGGGAAACTTGGCTCTTCTATCACTTATGGACTTCAACTCCCAGAATTCCTGAGTGAGCCATAAAAGATTCCCCATCCCTGGCCTACTGGTTTTTCAGTTGGGGGGGGGGAATCAATTTTTGACTTGAATTGGATTGTTTAATTCCTTGCCCACCTCTTTGTAGTAGACTGGATATGATCACCCATTCTATAGAAGTTCCCTACAAGGATTCAGTAACACATTCAGACCCATGTGGTCAACTATTATTGTTGGCCAACTGTTTACTAATGATACTACTAAAGACAGGTCCTGGGACAAAGTTTTTGACACAGTAGTATGATGAAGTACAAAAAAGCAATCTGCCCATTTTGATATTTGCTCAGAATTTCACACTTCAGCAATAGGTATAGTAGGTTAAAGGTTCTGCACTGTGGAGATTGCTGTCTAGCATCACAAACATCATTTCAGAGCAATCTAATTATGACAAAAGAATTTAGACAAAACACCCCTTATGCAATGATACATTTATTGATAAAAGATAAGTAGTTCAAAAGGAAGAAATTAATGTACATTATAACAATGGCTTCTTGGATGGTTGTGACATCTCTATGGCAGCCATGATGGAGTTCAATTGAGAAATGGAGATGGTGGTTGCAGCTTGTTACATTCTTTGCCTGAGCAAAAGTCTTTTTCTTAAAAGTCCCACAAGTATCACCATTAAAATAGTTGGAGCAATTAATTAACTGGGTATGTTATAGACAAACTGCTTAATCTTTTTTGAACTAAATTAGGAATCATTGGATTATTTTTATGCACTACCTGATACTTCTTTATTTACAATGTTTTTAATCTATTCAATAACCATACTTTTCTGGTTGGATTACAGTATGTCTAAAAACATTAAATGTTAATGTAAGAGAGTTACATTGTGGGATAATAAAATGCAATTAATAAATAATAGAAGAGGACCGGTTTGATGTAATGATGAAAGGCACTGGAGTAGAAGTTGGGAAACGATGATTTCTAGTCCTGCTTTAGTCATAAAAGTCACTTTGGGCCGGTCACTTTCACTCATTCTTAGGAAAGTGTCGTTTCTTCAGTCACAAAATTGCATGATGCTGTTCTTCCAGTTACCAGGTATCAGGGTTGACTCCATGGACCATATACTAGAAAGTCAGTTTGATCTGGTGGCAGATGAAAGCCAGGTCACCTTGAGTGAATCACTCCTGCTCAGCCCAAGGAAGAGGCAATGACAACCATTTCTGAAAATACTGCCCCGACTCAAAGATTTAAAAAAACTTATACAACATTTGAATTTGAAAGGACTTAAAATCAAGCCAATTTGTAAACTATAGCAATGCATGTGAGAACAGCAATGTTTTCTTTTCTTACTCACACAATTGTGGGCATGCTTCCCTGGTAATGGCACAGCCAAGAAAGCTCTATTCCTTGTAGCTTTTGTCCAACTTCACTTAGTTGAGAGATCCACAAGGAAGACCTCCAAAGATGTCCAAAGACTTGGGCAGATGCAGCACTTTTCTTTGCAGTATTATTCCCTAACAAGAATATGATTTGGATATATTTGGCACCAGCAGTATTGTTAATTTAAAAGGCCTTCTTTCTGGATTCAGTATTACTCAACATATTCTGAGCCACAGGTGTTTTTTATTTGGACCAGATTAACTGTGAACTCTCTTTAATTCCCTTGGGCCAAACATTCTTTCCCTAAATGGTGCCAGATCTTATGGGGAGACTTTGCTAATGCAAATTAATTCTTCTTTAAAATTCATGTATTTGTTTTTATACAATTTTGCTGGATTTCTTTATGCTTTATTCATTTAAAAACAACCATGTTAATTTGTAGCTTATATCTCTTCTAAATTTTGGAATCAGAAATGCTGATATACACTTATCTGTAACAAAGCTATATCAGCCTGCATCTGCTTAGTAATAGATATTTCCCCATTTCATAGCTATAAAACAATCAGTGTCAGCTATTAATCTATTAAACTTAATAGGAACTCAGACTCCAAACTATTTTTTTTTCTGATCTCCTCTTGTAGCTTTGCCGAATTGTGATCAAAATTCAGGAAAGAAGCAATGCAGAAAAGAAGCAGTGTATGCTTCTTCTTCTTTAATTAACTAAGTCCTATTGCAACCTTCTCCCTATGATTTACTCATATGAAGTTCTAAATTAAGGGTAAACCCAAACTACCACATTCAAAATCCTATCCTTGTGTTGTTATCGTTATTATTGCATTTATGAGACATGGGCATAGTTCTAAATCTTGTGGAAGATTCCTTTTAGATGCATCGAGGCAGTTGAGATAATAAATTCATTTAACAATTTTTGCACACTTATTTTGTCATTATAATTTCATGTACCGAACTAATTTTACAATGGTCCAGAGTGGGTGCAAACTATAAAAAAATGCACCTCGGGGGGAAAAATAAAATAAAATTACAGCTGTAATAGGAATACATTCTGACATGAGAACTTTTCAATCATCTTTGATTCTGTAAACTAAAAATCTGTATCAGAAGTCAATATGTGTTAACAGCAACATCCATTTGACCTATGAGAAGAGGAACTGCATCTCTATGTGCTAATTTAGAAAAATTAGTGAAGCAACCTGAAATTAAGGCACAGTGGAGGGCGTCAGGGACCATATGACATTTGCCACGGCCCGCTGCCTAGCACAGCTCTTTAAAGAAAGCAACAGCTAATTGGTTGAAAGCACAGCAGGTGAAGGGTTAAATACTTTAGCTGTTGGGCAGTTGGAATTTTTTTATATCTTTGCTGGAGGACCTTGTGTCTGCAGGCCATAGCCACATTATCAGCTAGAAATTGGATAAGGACAGCACAATGACAAATCCAGGTTGCTTGCAATAAGGTGCTAATCCCTTTGCTTTAATATCGAAGCAGCATGTAATGATGTTTGGACATCACTCCAGTTTACTGACGACCCCACTGGGGCTTGCAATAGAAGCGTACAACCACCTAACAAGGCGTCAGCTGACTGCCGTCGTCAAAGCAACGGACCTTGCAATCTAATCTTCCTTCCATCCCTTCCAGCTCCCAATAAGGCCCAGGTTATATAAGTGGCCCATCGATGCTTGGTAACTGGAATCAATTAACGTTAATTCGCACAATGCTATGATGTATTGTGATCACTTTCATTTCAGGGAAGGGGGAAAGAAATGGCTATAATTCACCTAAAATGAGGTTGTCCATGGTACTGAGGTATTAATTGGGTGTCCATATTAAATGGGAAAGGAGAAGAGCAGTGAGGGAAAAGTGGAAGGATGAGTGACTCTCTTGGCTGCTATTGACCTATCAGAAGAAGACAGTGCCCTTTTCCTTTGCTTTTATCTATTACAGTTTTCCCTATTGCGTGTCAAGTTGATGTATTATAAAAAATTCATTTGGTGACCTTTCACCCTCTTTGCAGATTAAACAATTTCACCAAGATGGCATCATTAAGAGGGTCTTGCATTTAATGATGATTTCTCTAAAAGGCCACGGAGATTCGATTTTAAGCTAACAGATTTATTGCACTATTATAACATATCGTAAAAAATTCTACCACCTACGGTCTAGTTTTAGGTTAGGAAACTGTTAGGGAGTTTGTGCAGAGTTTAAAAGCGGTATTACCTTGGGATATGCTGCTGCACCAATTGGCACATTCTCTCCCATGGCATAATCCTGTTTATGTTTAATAAGTTATTGTTCCTAAGGTGCTAAATTTAAGGGGCAAAGTAGAGACCTGCCTGGATCCACTTTTTAAGAGTCCAAATTAGATATTTAGGCCTGTAAAACTGTCAGAGTAAACCACAATTTTGTTAATCTGTACAACATAGAATTTGAATTAAACTTAATGCTTTGAGGGAGCAGAAAAGGGGCCATCTGGTTACCATTAGCAACCGCAGAATGGCTGGAAGGGACAGACCACTCTGGGGTGAGAGACAGAGGGAGGTGGAATTCTACCGTGGGAACAAACTCATTTGTTCTGAAGCTCATTTGTAAACACAATTATTGTTCTTTCCATTATCACCCAAACCTTAGAATGAGAAAATATGTCTAGCACCAAGAAGAAGATGAAGGGGACCCCCCCCCCCACCCCCCCAAAAAATGGTTTTAGTCAATACAAGGTAGACTGATGGCACTTTTGCCTACTAAGAAAGACTAATAGACTAAAGAAAGGAGTCTAACCAACAACTGGACAAACTGACCAGGAATATAGAACATCCTATAGGAATTTTCTTGCTCAGTGAATGTATCTAATAACTTATTTGGCTAACATTGGTTTCTTGGCTTTTTAAAAACTTAGCCTTTAAATATGATATGAATCAATTGCCTGAATCCAAAAGAGCTGCATCAAATAAGTCTACCTGTATTATTTATCTCTGCCCAGAATCTATACATAATATGGATTGTAATTTAATATGAATGCCTATGTACAAGTGAAAGCAGTGTCTTTCATTCTTGATAGAATAGTTAAGGTAGTGTGTGTGTGTGTGTGTGTGTGTGTGTGTGTGTGTGTAAAATCCAAATTAAAGGGAAACATTAAAAATCAAATCCTTCATCTAAACCTTGTATTAATGCTATTAAAATTTTTAGGCCTTTACAAATAGGGAAGAGATTGCCTTCCAGTCCATTACTACTGAATTTAGTCCTTGATCTCATTTGCTTAATCTCAAAAAAGAAATGTCTTGAAAAATCCAGTTTCCAGAATTCCATCTCCTTCCATTCAGATTCCATCATACTAATTTCAGTATGAATTCTCAATATACATAAAAGAATTACATCTTAATATGAGATTAAAACAGTTTTTAAAGAGACAGAGAAACAAAAGAAACAAGAAGGTCATTGCAATTCTTATGTTGAGTTTAAAGCAAATTTGCAAGTGCAAGATGCATTCTGCCACCAGGGGACACTATCATTTTCACAAGAAGATGGAAGAAAAATTGGTACTTTCTGTTCAATTTATAAAGATTAGTAGATATAGCAAAAAGAGCAGCACTCTATTAATCCATGAAAGGATTAGATTGGATGCAAGGAACTCATCCTGCTTGGTAAAGCTAGAGGAAGTCTAAAGGGTTTGGAATTGGAAGGAATGTCTCATTCTTGCCCCATGAATTTGTCCTTGAAATCCTTACAGAAAAGTATCCATCTATATATCCATTTTAAAATTTACTACTCAATCATATGTTTTTAAATTTAATACACCACATTTATTTTTCATCTATTCTTTCTCTCTCTCTGCAATAGTAGTGGATCTCTCTGTCTCTCTCTCTCTGTTTCCCCACCTCTGTAACTGCTTTTTATTTTCATTCTCTATAATGAATTTATAATAGTAGAAATTATATTTGAATAGCCATTTGGTATTAAAATCCATAATACTACTTTTCTGCCTTTGCAAAGGCAATGGGATTCCCAAATTCTTTCCTTCAGATAGCAGCTCCAGGTGCTTAATGCTTACTCTCAAATAACAAGGATAATAACCACCCTGTGTATTCCCTAATGATTTATAGTCAGTTAGTTATAGTCCTTGGCTTTCAAGTGCTTTTTAGGTGGAGACGGGAGAAATAAAATGATGTATTGACATTCTTATTGAGGACTGATAGAACTGACTCATATTGAAACTATTTTCTTGAACAGAAAATTCTTTTTTAATATGACTACTGCAACTGGGGGGTGTTCTGTACAAGTCAATTTACATACTCGTAGCCCCGCGTCGCGATTGGTTAAGGCGCGCGGCGACCGGATTGGTCGAGCGAGCCGCCCTGATTGGTCCGCTGCGAATCCCCCGCGATTGGTGGAAACTAATCGCGGGAGATTCGAAGCGGTGTCATTGGCCGCGACCGCCGCGGCTCGAGAATAAAAAGCCGCAGTTTTTCCCTTCAAGCTTAAGCTGTATCAGGAGCCAATAAAGAGCTGAAACCAAGTCACTGACTCCGAGCTTCCTTTCTCGACGGACACGACACTGGCGACGAGGGTGGGATCCAGAGAATAACCACCGAGCACGTGTCCCGAGGAAGACAAAGGACCGACGAGATGGCCAGCATGACCCCACCAGCACCCTTCAACCCCGCTACCGAGGACTGGGAATCGTACACGGATAGATTCCTGATGTTCCTCGAAAGTAGCAATTTGAAGGATGCGAACGGGCAGAAGAAAAGGGCCGTCTTCCTCACACACTGCGGGCCCGCAGTGTTTAAGATGGCCAAAGCCCTCGCGAAGCCAGAGGACGTGAAGGCGATGGACTGGGCCGATCTCGAGCCACTCCTTCGGAACCACTACGCCCCCGCTGTGCCCATCCTCATCCGGCGGGATGAGTTCTATCGGCGAAACCAGCGGCAGGACGAGAGCATTAGCGACTTTATAGCCGCCTTGCGAGACCTAGGGGGGATGTGCGAGTTCAGGGACCTGGACGATGTCCTCCGAGACCGCGTGGTCCTAGGCCTCAGGGATCAGGCACTAAAAAGTCGACTGATGGCGAAAGGCAACATCGACCTCGGGGACGCCCTGGCCGAAGCTTCCGCAGCCGAAGCCACCCGGAAGTCAGCAGCCAGACTTCGGAGGGCAGACAACGGGGACCACACTGAAACCCCCGAGACAAGCCGACGAGAAACCACCACACACCACGGGGACCTGGACTCCGCCTCCGATACCACGGACGAGGAGGAAGACGTCCACCGACTACAAACAGGACGGGACCGGCGAGATCAACGGGGTCGTAAGTCGGGGAACCAGTGCGCCGGGTGCGGGGGAAACCACTTTCGATCCGAGTGCCGTTTTATCGACGCGATCTGCCGGCAGTGCAACAAGAAGGGCCACATCGCCCGAGTCTGCCGACTCAAAAAGACACACAGCCCCCGCCGGCGAGAACCAAGCAACCGGGGACGAGACGACACCCCCCCGAGAACCAGAGATCGCCAAGCCGACTATCGCTGGAGCCGAGACAACCGAGGACGACGGAGCGGGGAAGGCCGACAGAGAGAAGAAACCCACCAGACGGTCACCATCGGCCATGCCGAAACCACGGATGCCCGGAAGGTCTACGTGGAGGTGAGCATCGAGGGCGAACCATGCCGGATGGAGGTAGACTCCGGATCCTACCTCTCCATGGTCGCCTGGAAAGAACTCAAGCGCCTGGTGCCAAACATCCAGAAAAGAGGACTGGAGAACCAGAAACTGATCATCAAGGACTATCAGGGGAACCGCATTCCCGTCATTGGGACCGGACAGTTCGTGGTGACTTTCAAAAACCGCACCGCGAAACTTCCCCTGACTATCGTGGACCGGAACCGACCCAGCCTTTTAGGACTCCAATGGTTCGCGCCACTCGGGATCGAGGTCACGGGAGTAAACCACACCACAGAGGCCGACTGGGAGCGGCAGCTGGCGAGGGACTTCCAAGAAGTATTCGACGGCACCCTAGGCAAGTACAAAGGGCCCCCTATCTCTTTTAGCCTAGACCCAAATGTCGCCCCCATACGCCTAAAACCCAGACGGGTGCCTTTTGCACTCCGGAAGAAAATAGACGAGCAGATTGACAAACTCGTCAAACAGGGGGTTTTGCAGCCAATCGACCACGCCCGGTGGGAGACCCCTATAGTCACCCCAGTCAAACCAGATGGGTCAGTAAGGATCTGCGGGGACTATAAGGCCACCCTCAATTGCGCCCTGCAACAAAGCGCCTACCCCGTCCCAGTAGTGCAACACCTATTACACTCGCTGGGGGGGGG